CCAGGCGCCAGCGCGGAGCCGCCTGCGGCCGCCGCTCACCCGCCCGCAGCAGCGGCTCCAGCTCGGCCGCGACGGCTCCGGCGCCGCCTCCGCGGCGGCTCCGACGGGCTGTGAACGGGAGACACCCGTTACTGCGGCGCCCCCATGGGCAGCCCCCCGATTTGGGGGGTGACGCCCCACGGGGCAGTGCCAGGGCCCTTGGGGGCAGCTCAGCCGCCAGAGGGCGCTGGATCGAGGGGTGCAGGGGAAAAAGAGCGGCGGTTTGGGAGGGGACGTGGGATTTGGGGGGGACACGTGGGATATGGGGAGACAGTAACGGAATTATGGAGGAAAAGGGGGATTTGGGGGGGGAGCACCGTGGAATTTTGGGGGAAAAGTGGGATTTGGTGTGGACAAGCATGGCATTATAGAGAAAAAAAGTGTGATTTGGGGCAAGACACTCATGGAATTTCAGAGGGAAAGCAGGGTTTGGGGCGGAAAAACAACGCAATTTTGGAAGGAAAGTGCAGTTTGGGGCAGAAAATCATGGAATGCTGGAGGAAAAGTGGGATTTTGGCAGTGAGGATTAGGGGATTTTGGAGAGAGAGTGCAATTTTGGCAGTGAACGTGGAGAATCTCTGCAGAGCAAGTGGGATTTAAGCAGTAAAGCCAAGGGATTTTTTTTGGGGGGGGGGGAGGTGCAGGATTTGTGATGGAAAAACAAGGAATTTTCGGGCGGGGGGGGGGTTGGATGGATTACCAAGGGATTTTGGGGGGAAAGAACTAAACAAGTAGGATTTTGGAGGTAAAACTAAGGCACGGGGCGGGGGGTGAGCGGCACTTTGGGGTGAAACCACGCGGTTTTGCAGCCCTACCTGCCGGTGCCGCCGCCGCCGCCTCACGGCCCCGCGCGCCGCACGTGCCCGCGCCCGCCCACGTGCCAGAACCTTCCGCGCCGCGCGACGTCTGCCCAGCAACCGCGCCGCCATTGGCCCCTCGCGCCGGCCGTTGACCAATCGCAGCGCCGTCGCGCCAGCCGCCGGCCAATCGCAGCGCCGCTCGCGCGGCGGCGGGAAGGCTGTGAGGGAGGGCGTCGCCGACCGTTGCGCACAAAATGGCGCCGCTGACCGTTAGTCGCAGAGATGGCGCCGCCCTCAGCCTGTCCTGTCCATGCTGGCGGCCCTTTGATGAAGGGACCGGAGTGGCGCCTTCAAGGGACAAGCCCAGGCCTCTCCGCCCTGTGGCGGCCATCCTGAGGTGAAGGGGTGCTCGAGGACTTGCTTGGGAGCGTCTCGTTTCATTGCATTGGGTCCCAAACTGTGTCCCTGAGGGCTTAAGTACTGCTGGCAAGAAGAGAAGCAGCTGGGGTGAGGTTAAAAGCCTCATCCCGCCATGGTGACGCCACCTAGATTTGCACTCGCTCGGACGGAGCCCCTCACGGTTCTGCTCTGGGGCTCGGAAAAGCCACCATGGCCTCGTGTGTGATGAGCGGTGTTTTCCACAAGCAGTTTGTTGGATGGAAGGCGACGCAGCAAATACACAGCAAAAAAGAGGCGCCTTGATGGTGGGTATTTTGGAAACCGGGGTGTTTTGGAAACCGGCCTTCGTGCGAGGCCTCGCTGCCCACTCGGAGTTGGGAACGCGCTCGGTCGCTCCATAAAGCCTCCATTGTAGCGGCATTGGCGTCAGTCGCTCCGCACGCAGGAACAACAATTACAATAATCCCAGCCCGATCGCCTGGAGATACGAGCTGCTCTTAAACAGCCGAAGCGGGTGGAAACTTTGAGAGCTGGAAACCAACGGGAGTCTAAAGGCCTCGCAGTCTACAATCTTTTGTGCCGCTGGTTCACTGCAGCAGCACCCCTGGTATTTTGGGGGGGCTTTGCAGAGGCTTTGCACGTGTACTCCACACGTGAGGGGCCTTTTTGCCCATTCTGCGGATGCAAACCGAGGAGGAAGGCGGCTGCTTGTGGGCCCGGGCCAGAGGCGGGCGGGTTGGCGGCAGCCTTTGCACCGGCCTCGGGTGCCTTGGGCTGCGGCCGCAAATACCAGAGGAAGCGGCGCAACCCGTAATTTTGCATCAAAGCGCTATCATGTGCTTGTAAAAATAGCAGAAAAGTAGAGATGTTTCCTGCCCGCCCCCTGCAATCCTGCAGTGGATTATAACCGTCGGAGCCGTCACGTGGAAAGCTCGGGTCCGTCGGGAGCCGAAGGATACGGGATATATGGTGACGTTACAGGTTGGGGTGAGAGGCTGTAGTTTCTGCCTGGCGGGCTGGCCCTGCCTGACGCTTCCTTGTTTTTTACGCCGTTTGTTACGGGGATCGGCGGAGAGAGGGAGATCCCAGCCAGGCCATGCCAATGTGGCGACTGGGAAGGCGACGTCGGCGGGAATAACGTTAATGCTGGAAGCTGCAGCTGGCCGCGCCACAGAGGCCAAGCGGGAGCAATGGAGCTGGCGCGCGGCTAAGCCGAGGAATTGGGGAGCGCGGACGGGCTCCTTTCACGTGTGGGTGCCCAACGCCGTGGAATCCATGCGCGAAACAAGCGCCCGTGCCCTCCTGTCCCGTGTCCTCCGCTCTCGCTGTACCCGTGTCCAGGGTTTTAGGCAGAATCCTGGGCTAAAGATACAGATCTCCTACTCTCTTTTGCAGGGATGGACCCTTTCCTTTAGGTGTCCAAAGGTAAAGAGCTACGTTAACCAAAATAATTTGGACCGGGGGACAGTAGGTGCCTGTGTTCTCTGCCAGGCCCATTCCCGGGCGGTTTTTCCGAGGCTGGAGGGCTTGGACAACAACCTGTGGGCATTGCCATAAGAAAGGGCTGCGGAAATGGCTCCTTAGGGGGCCAGTGGAGCCCCCTCTTCCTGCTGCCTCCCACGGACAGGGTGTCCCGCGCGTCCCCCCCCTTCCCCCAGCCCTG